TTATTTATTTATTTATTTATTTTATTTATTCACCGTTCTTTCACCAGGCAAGTCTCATTGAGATCGCAGATCTCTTTTTCAAGGGAGGTCAGTTGGGCCTGAAGACAACCTATTGTACATGTTTTTGTGTTGTGGGGGAAACCCACGTAAACATGAGGAGAACATGCAAACTCCGCACAGAAAGACCCCAGGTCTGAACCGGTGATCAAATGCAGTAAAAAGTACCCAAGTATATATGGTTTATTGCAATAAACCAAGCCTGGATGTCGTAGTGCAGGAAAATGGAAAATTGTTGTCACATACAACCCAGCCTGTGTAAAAAGTAAAAAAAAAAAAAAAATACACAGAATTCACAATAGAGCATAGTAAACATGAAATGTTAAAGTTATTAGTTACACTTTTTATAATCCTGTCATTTTGAATTTTATGGTAGCAACAGGCCTCAAAAACAGCCAGGGGCAACAAAGTCTGTAAAACTAAGTGTAATTAATAAGAAACAGCTGGAGGAGCGTTCAGTAAAAAACTGGGTTAATTATGACAAACTGGCTGCAGATCTGTATGATGACTGGGTTTAAAAAGGACTGAATTTTTCAGAAGTCAGCATGTGCAGAGGTTTACCAGTTTGTGAAAACTGTCTAAAATAGTTGAACAATTTTAGAATAATGTTCCTCCACAGAAAATTAGGAAAACTTTGAATATCCCATCATTTGTAGTTTACATCTGAGGATTTCAAGAATCTAGAGACGTCCTTGAGTTCAGCAAGTTAATATGCCTGTGACCTTTGGGCCTTCAAGGGCTAGTGCATTAAATACATTTCTATTTCTGTTGTTGACATCACTGCATGGAAGGAAGAAGCTTTCCACAACTGATTGTCTGTAAACACAGTTCAACGTGACAGTGTGAAAGACGAAGCCTTACGTGAACACTTTTCAGAAATGCTGTCCTCTTCTCTGGGTCAAAGCTAATTGAAAATTTACATCCAAATCACCTGAGGGAACCACAGACTGCAGAATACTTCAAAAATGGGTTCAAAACTCTTTGTTTTTGTTAATTTATTTTGTTTTTATGACTCTTGAAATGTTGCACTTTGAAATTTATAGATGTAATGTGAACAGCATGCATAAATAAAAATAATAATATTAATATCAGTCTGATGGTTGGCTTATCCAACTTCTTTGAGACTTGGAGAAGACACAAACACAACGCAAGTCCATCATTCAGAGAGGTCCGGAGATAAAAAGTAAGTATAATGTTCTAGTGAGATCTAACACAGGTTCTGCAAAAACCAAGCTGGTGTTTCAGACCAGTATCATGGTAGAACCCTACAAAGAAAAGACCTGACAAGGTCACTTTGTTWATAAAGCTGACTGTGGAACTCATGGCTGTCAAGGACTCAAAGGAGAAACTTGAGAGTCTAATTACTGCAGCACAGGACCTGCTATCACCAAAAGAATGWGGGTATGCAGCACATGTATGGGAGACCATTAGTCATAGTTTCTAGCTGCAAAATACTGGCCCCATGAGTACCTGGAAAGACACGACAAGGTTAGGACTTACCTGCACTGGGCATTGTGCCAGAGAATGTGTGTACACTGCAAAAACTGTCCACCTAACCAAGTTTTAAAATCTTATATCAGCCAAAAGTCTTTTTGATCTTTTGAGACTGATTTACTAAACAAGAACTGATTGTGTAAGAATAATAATCTTGTTTTCAGAATGTGTAAGATTATTTGTCTTGTTAGTCTGAAAATTT